TTTGTTCACGTCACCTCATACTTCAGTTTCTCAGCAAATCTTCAGACCAATCAAATGCTCTCTAGTATCTGACAAGCCCCGCCTTCTTCAAGACGCTTGCTTTTCATTTCATGCGCTTGTTCTAAATCTGTGAACTGGCAGAACTGTGATGAAACAAAACGCTATTGGCTGCTTTTTTTAAAGGGGAGGAGTCACACTATGGCCCGCTCTCTCTTTGTTTCTAAGTTGAGTTTATGCCAAACATCGCATAAAAAAACGCACATTACAAAGCACTTCACGGCACCTTTAACGGACAGTTCACCCAAAAACTCACCCTCCATTTCTCTCAAACCTGTTTCAGTTACTATCTTCTGTTGGACAGAAATGAAGATAGTTTGAAGAATGTTAAAAACGGGTAACCATTGACTCCCATAGAATTTATTTTGTTTTATTTTTATGTTTGTCTTGTTTGGGTTTTTACCAAAATCTGGTTCAACTTCATGTCAACAGCTCCTTTAGGAATATTATTCGCAGGTAAAAACACCACGTGTTTAATACTTAATTAATTCCCTGCTGAAATATATCAAATGATATATTAAAATGTAAAACATACACTTGACCCCGAACAAAACGCTAAGATGTTGTGACAAAATCATCCAGCAGCCGGCTTTCAGAGATTCAGACAGTCGAGCGTCAGTGTATTTGCACAGCAAACACGCTTTTCACCTCGCTGTGCAGTTTCTCCCTGCCTGACCGGCTTCCTCTGTATTGACAAGATTGTTACAGTCAAGCACACGACGAGACGCTCTTGCTTATCGGTGTTGAATAACGCAGATCATGTGACCCGCAGGAGAGGAAAGAGACAAAAATACAGACTCCACCTAGCAATGACCCCGCATGGAATGAGTCATTGTGGGTGCATTTGAATATGCGCACACACACACACACACACACACACACATGCAATTCCTGCAGTGATTGTGCATACTGTATATAATGCATTTGAATATGTGTGTTTATTTTGGGTTTAATTTGCATGGACAGACTTTGAGTTCGGTATGATGATGCATTTCAGGCTGGAGCAGAATACTGAGTAGGGGCGGGGTTTATATTTTAGCCCCACCTCTCATCTTTCACTCAAAGCAAACTAAAAAGAGAGGTTTGGCTAAACAATTCATCCAATCCAAATTACAACCATAGACCATTACCGGACGGCACGGTAGCTCAGTGGTTAGCACTGTCGCCTTATAGTAAGAAGGTCTCTGGTTCAAGTCCCAGCTGGGTCAGTTGGCATTTCTGTGTGGAGTGTGCATGTTCTCCCTGTGTTGGCGTGGGTTTCCTCCACAGTCCAAACACATGCACTATAGGGGAATTGATGTGTGTGTGTGAATAAGTGAGTATGGGTGTTTCCCAGTACTGGTTTGCAGCTGGAAGAGCATCCCCTGCGTAAAACATATGCCAAAATTGTTGGCGGTTCATTCTGCAGTGGCAGCCCCAGATAAATAAGGGACTAAGCTGAAGGAAAATGAATGAATGAATATTAAAGTCAAGCAAAGATAAAAGAGAAATAAGCAATGCTTTATAGCTGGAACGGGAGATTGGCATCATGGATGTGCAGCCGACAAATCTGCAGCGACTGTGTGATGCTATCATGTCAATATGGAGCAAAATCTCTGAGGAATATTTCCAGCACCTTCTTGAATCTGCGCCACGAAGGATTAAGGCAGTTCTGAATGCAAAAGTGGGTCCAACCCGGTACTAGTAAGGTGTACCTAATAAAGTGGCCGCTGAGTGGAAAATAACACTGCACATTGTTCACTGTATAAATTACATTAATTACATTAATTTCCTCTCTTGATACTCTCTTGTTCCAGCCTTCAAAACATGCAAATGATAAACTTTCACTCGGTGACGCAAATAAAACAGCTTGTCAACAATATTTCATGTTGCATTACATTAACCTCAGGCAAGACTCAGTGTCTGCGGCTCATTAGTTCACTAGAGAAATGAACTCCGAAGTGCACTTCGCTATATATGTTCACTATATTATTAGCATGTACACTCACTGACCATTTTATTTGAGACACCTTACTAGTAGCGGGTTGGACCACCTTTTGCCTTCAGAACTGGCTTAATCCTTCATGGTATAGATTCAACAAGCTACTGGAAATATTCCACAGAGATTTTGCTCCATATTGACATGATAGCATCACACAGTTGCTGCAGATTTGTCTGCTGCACATCCATGATGCCAATCTCCCACATGCCAAAGATGCTCTATTGGATTGAGAACTGGTGACTGTGGAGGCCATTTGAGTACAGTGAACTCATTGTCATGTTCAAGAAACCAGTCTGAGATGATTCACGCTTTGACATGGTGCGTAATATTGCTAGAAGTAGTCATGAGGAGATGGGTACACTTGGTCATAAAGAAATGGACATGGTCAGGAACAATACTCAGGCAGGCTGTGACATTGGCACAATGCTCAATTGGTACTAATGGGCCCAAAGTGTGCCAATGAAATATCAGAAAATATTTGAGTTACTGTTGCCTTTCTATCAGCTGGAACCAGTCTGGCCATTTTCCTCTGACCTCTGGCATCAACAAGGCATTTGCGCCCACAGAACTGCCGCTCGCTGGATATTTCACACCATTCTCTGTAAACCCTAGAGATGGTTGTGCGTGAAAATCCCAGTAGATCAGCAGTTTCTGAAATACTCAGAGCAGCCCGTCTGACACCAACAACCATGCGACGTTCAAAGTCCCTTAAATCTCCTTTCTTCCTCATTCTGATGCTCGCTTTGAACTGAAGCAGATCGTCTTGACCATGTTTACATGCCTAAATGTATTGAGTTGCTGCCATGTGATTGGCTGATTAGAAATTTGTGTAAACAACCAGTTGGACAGGTGTACCTAATAAAGTGGCCAGTGAGTGTACATTAGACACCCTCTAACAAAATGCTAGGTTGTATTAACCCAACGTCGGATCATGTATGGACAAACCCAACAGCTGGGTTTTTAAAACATGTAATTTAATGGGTTTGTCCAATATTCGACCCAATGTTTGGTTAACAGGGCACTTTTTAGAGCGTACTTTACGTAACCCGTCCCACATTTTTAATGTATAATGAATAAATTTATCTTGAAATTATTTAAAAAAAAAACTTTGTAAATTATTTAATTTGCAAAACATTTTAAAAGCAACACTTTACAGTAAGAGTTTAACCATTTTTAACAATCTAACAATAACATGCACGGTGCGTAATATATTATTATTCATTCATTCATTCATTCATTTTCTTGATGGATTAGTCCCTTTATTAACCCGGGGTCGCCACAGCAGAATGAACCGTCAACTTATCCAGCACGTTTTTATGCAGCGGATGCCCTTCCAGCCGCAACCCATCTCTGGGAAACGTCCACACACACTCATTCACACAACGGACAATTAAGCCTACCCAATTCACCTGTACCGCATGTCTTTGGACTTGTGGGGGAAACTGGAGCACCCGGAAGAAACCCACGCGAACGCAGGGAGAACATGCAAACTCCACACAGAAACGTCAACTGACCCAGCTGAGACTCGAACCAGCGTCTCCAATATAGTATTAAACGGTACATATAAAATGCTGGGTTATTTTAAACCCATGTTGGGCCAAATTTGGACAATTGTTTCAGTAAAATTTTAATTACACTTTTCTAACCCACAGGTGGTTTTTTAGAGTGTAGCATTGTTGATTGTTTGTTAATTTCAGTAAAATGACATTGTTATGCAGGTTCACAACGCATCAAAAGAAGATCCCAAAAATGACACTAGATTCCTATTATGTAAAAATCCCTTCTATAAGGGGTTTAGACACAGTTGTGTGGCAGGAGTGTGTGACTCTAATCGTAAACATTAATTAATTCAATTGTTTTATAATCGAACTTGACAAAAACAGTCAACTTAAACTCTTTCGCTGCATCACCATTAGAGTTTTAAATCTGCCACTATGCTGACACACAGGCATTTGTAGCTCCGCCCTCTTTTGAAAAAGAGCACAGTCTAATTTGAATTTAAAGCGACAGTCATCAAAACAACACAATTTGGGTCAAAGCCTAAAAGACACAGATTCAAAGAGTGTTATTTAAAATATTTGTGCAGTATTTTGAGTTGAAACTTCACACACACACACTAGAGACACCAGAGACTTATTTTACAGCTTGCAAAAAGTGGCATAATAGCTCTCCTTTAAGCAATGTAATGCTTACTTGTGTCCCCTCATGTTGTAAGTGACTTTGGAAATAAAGATAGATGCATGTTAGGCTCGCTGATGTGCTGAGCGTGGAGAGCTGTATAATTGGAGAAGCCTGAAAAACTAGTGGTTTGTGGGGGTGGATGAGACTCAATCACTCCACAGCGACTGACTGAACCACACTTATGCTGTCAAGCCATTGTAAAGTCTAATTAAAATCAGTCCAAATTGCTCAGCTGACAACATATGCTGCTGCATTGTTGCATCACCGCTTCTAATATACAATATAAGGTCCAAATAATATTCGAACACTTTTAAGCCATGGTGATGTATTCACTTGAGGTCAGACCTCTGAGGAAACGCTGAAGGTCACCTTACAATAATATGCACAGTGACCTACTTGTGTTTGTTTGACTGGAGTAAGAAGAAGCTTTTAAAGCATTAAATATCTGATAGCGTTAATTACACTGCAAGCCTGTCTGCCATGACCTTTCAGCCACAGATACACAAATGCACATGCATTTCTCTTTCAAACACACACACACACACATACACACAAACTGACTAATTTCCCATGCATATGTTAATAACCGCAAACATTTGAGTAGTCTCAAGGCAAAAAAAGCAACATGTAAACACTAAATGCACTTTGAATTATACAGGATAATATAATGTAAACACTGCACGCTATGACAGTAATCATAACAATGTATTAATCACTGATTTGTGCATGCACAAAATCCACTTTTAAGCCATTTCAGCGCTTGCATTAGTACATTTCTTACCCAATTTCCTCGATAAGCACAGGCAGCAGAGAACTGATGGTATTTTGAAAGGAGATCCGATGTGCACCGCTGGAAACCAGGCTTACTGATACAGAAATTCGCGTTCAGGCATCAAAATATCTCATCATCATGCGACAATATTGCTTGATGTTATTGATGTAAAAACGCGTTCACACTAACAGACACATTAGAGCTCGTGTTCCTCTAACAGAGAAGGACCTTGAGGTTTAAAGACGCTGGCGTCGCTGGAGGCAGGTGCATTTCATGTGCAGATGTGTGGCGGGGTCTTTGCGTGTATTTGATCCGCAGAGAGTGCGAGGCGAGCGGTCACTGCTGTCCTTCAGCGCCGCTGCTCCGCTTCATTATTGCAGAAGAGCTGCTGGCGGTGCTTTCGTCAGAGATTTAATCGGCACGTAACGCTCCTGTCACATGGTGTTCCGCCGAAGCTAACATATATGTGTGTATTATATTTGCATTTCCAACAGCTCGAGCTTGCCAGCCACCAAAGCGCTTTAGCAGTTAGCATGTGCTTCTCGGCGTTATTTCTGTGTAAATGAAATGCCGCATGAGAACGCGGTGTCGTTGTCATGACAATCAGCGCGTATCTTTTTTATTATTTTTTTTACACTTATAGACTTTATTATATCAAAGCGTGTAAAATACAGCACATTAAAGGTATTAAAACTGAATGAAAGCAGTAAAATAGACACAATCACAATATTAAGATACTGAAAAATGCTGGATTCTGCTGATAAACCAGCATATGCTGGTAAGGTATGCTGGTCTAAATTTGGGCCATGACCAGCACTGAGATCAGCATTGAAACCAGCACATTGACCAGCATCGAAACCAGCCTTTAGACTATTAAAAACCAGCAAGACCAGCACTGAGACCTGCATTAAAACCAGCAAGACCAGCTTTGAAGCCAGTAAGACCAGCACTGAGACCGGCAATAAAACTAGCAAGACCAGCACTGAGGCATTAAAACCAGCAAGATTAGCGTTGACCAGCATTAAAACCAGCTTTGAGACCAGCATTGAAACCAGCAAGACATGAGAATAGTGTTGACCAGCATCAAAACCAGCAAGACCAGCATTAGACCAGCATTAAAACCAGCAACTCCAGCTGTGGGACCAGCTAAACCAGGATTAAAAGCAGCAAGACCAGCTCTAAGACTAGCTTAACCAGGATTGAAATCAGCAAGACCAGCACTGAGACCATCTTAACCAGGATTGAAACAGCAAGACCACCACTGAGACCACCACTGAAACCAACAGGTTTAGCACTGAGACCAGTATTGACCAGCATCAAAACAAGCAAGACTAGCATTTAAAAGACCAGCACTGAGACCAGCATTGAACCAGCAATATCAGCATTGAAACCAGAAAGACCCGTATTTTGACCAGGATTGAAACCAGCAAGACCAGCTCTGAGACCAGCATTGAAACCAGCAAGACCAGCACTGAGACCAGCTAAACCAGCATTAAAACCACCGAGACCAGCACTGAGACAATCATTGAAACCAACAGGACCAGCACTTTGACCCGTGTTGACCAGCATCAAAACAAGCAAGACCAGCATTGAGACCAGCATTGAAACCAGCAAGAGCAGCTCTGAGACCAGCTAAACCAGGATTAAAACCAGCAAGACCAGCCATGAGACCAGTGTTAAAACCAGCAAGATTAACTGTAAGTCCAGCTTAACCAGAATTGAAACCAGCAAGACCAGCATTGAGACCAGCTAAACCAGCATTGAAACTAGCAAGACCACCACTGAGACCAGCTTTGAAACAAACAAGATTAGCACTGAGACCAGCGTTGACCAGCATCAAAAAAAGCAAGACCAGCATTTAAAAGACCAACACTGAGACCAGCATTGAACCAGCAATATCAGCATTGAAACCAGCAAGACCCGTATTTTGACCAGGATTGAAACCAGCAAGACCAGCTCTGAGACCAGCATTGAAACCAGCAAGACCAGCACTGAGACCAGCATTTAAAATACCAGCTCTGAGACCAGCAAGATCACCACAGAGACCAGCATTGAAAGCAGCAAGAGCAGCTCTGAGACCAGCTAAACCAAGGTTGAAACCAGCAAGACCAACATTGAGACCAGAAAAAAATAAATTTTTCAAGAAATGGGTTGGTCCATATTTAATCCAATGAATCCAATGTTGGGTTACAATGCTCTTTCAATGCCAATTTAAAGTCAAGTGGTCAATTGTCAAACATTAGGTCAGCGTGAAATCAAAATGTACAATGTTTATTTTGCTAGCTAGTGCACTTTTTTTAAGTGAACAATTAATATGTGCAAATTAAGTGAGGAAAAATTGTTTTGGTAATCTTCAGTCAATGAGCATTTGCATCAGTTTGACCAGCCTGATCTCACGAGAAAATGTAAGTATTTTACGTTTTGTCAGTTTAGTTGCTAATTCGTACGAATTCTTACGAGTTCAGTCGAACAAAATTGTACAATTTTAAAAAGAAGGCGTGGCACCTAACCCCACCCCTAAACCCAACTATCATTGGGGGATGAGCAAATCGTACTAAATTGTACAAATTAGATCGTACGAATTCATACAAATTAGCTACTAAATGAAAAAGTTACGAATTGCTGTGATTGTGTTGGTTTGACGGCTTCAGCCACAATATTCCTAACCATGCCCCTCTTACTGTTAGTTTGCCATGGGGAAATAAGGGATTTTCTAAACTATATGGCGTTTGAAATCTGTGTATTACTTAGTATTGAAACAAGCGTAAGGGATAGCATAGATTCCTTTGGCTTTTGATTGATTAAATAACAAGTTATTTTCTCACAAGAGCTGTTTATTCTGTGTAGTGACGCCTCTCCTTCATTTACCTCTATTGAAACAAAACAGCCTCTGGTCTCCTTTCTCATGTACTGGCTTTAGCATTAGCGGTTACACATTTACAGCTAATAATTTCCAGTGTGTCACCTATTGGTTTAGAAGAAATGATGCACAAATGAAAGCCCCGCCCCCTACTTAGTATTTTGTTTTAGTTGGAAGCACATCAACATACTGAAATAAAAGTCTCGGCAGCGTTGGGTTAAATATTGACAATCCCAACATTGTGTTGTTCTAATGGTTTCCACCACAGATGCCATTAACCATTACAAACCAGTACGTTTAAATGGTTTCTTCTAGTGTGCTTTGGGATGTTGTTTATGGGATTTAATGGTTTTAACATCCCCCCAGCAGAATACCACAACCACAAAGGCCATTTTAGTTTCCATTAAAACTAATAATCAATACAATTATAACCAATTCTCTGAGGGCTTGGAGACAGAAATCTAAAAAAAGGTGGAGGCTGAGATGACCTACAGTATCCGCTGTGTTCCGTCCACCTACTTTTATAAATAATATGTGAATGTTTATTTAAGTACCATACCGTTTGTAAAGTAACATGTTCAGTCTTTTAGATATCTTACAGTGTATATGAAAGACTTTGTTTACCAAAAAAGATGGACCACAAGGATTAGGATTAAGTCTAGAGATGTGGTCCCTCCTGCTGACAACTGTTAAAATAAATTAGAGTTAAAATACAGTGTTCAAAGTGCTGTTGCTTTAAGACACCAGGTGGCAAAACTACATGTAGTGCTCCACAATGCCATTATATGTGAAGAGCAGGTAATCGGGGTTGGCAGGTGAACGTAGGGCTGGGTTAACAGTGTTTGTCTGACCTTCTGTAAGGATCTAAACCAGTTAATAATAATAATAATAATAATGATAAATTTTATTTAAAGGCGCCTTTCTTACCATACAATCAACAAGAGCAATAAAACAACAAGATAAATAATAAAATATACACAGCAATAGTGCAAATAAAATTAAAATTAAGTATTTAATGAACCCAAATAGTTTATTGACAAGCTTGGAAACCCATTTTACAGTTCATTGACAACCCCCCCATACATTCACTATTCACAACATGCTACAGTCCACTTGAATGAGTGAATGAAAGCAGATGAGTGAATAAATGGATGCTGGAATGGAATTAAATGGATGCTGTTTTGTTTGTGTTTTGGTCAGACCCTGTGATAGTTATTTAACACTTAGCGAGCTGTGTATTAGTAATGAAACAAAACATTTTGATTTCTGTACATGTAAAATGTACATGTACATGTAAGTGTTACTCTAAATGTTAAATAATCATTTATTTAGAAACGTAGGATTCCGCGGGAGGCGCCATCTTGTGTTCAGACGCGGGAATTAATTTGGCGCGCAAACTCATATATGGGTATTTTCGGTATTGTCTAGCCGTTTAGTGTACATCGGTTGTAGTTGTTGCAGTGAATTGTGAGATAGATTAAGTGCACTTTAGAATGTCCACTATGGATTCAGACACCACTACTAATAGTTGCCCCCTTAAATAAAGCACTATTTAACGGTATAGCCTAGGGGTGACTTCAGATAAAACCTCATCATTAAAAATTACTAGTTCACATTTATAAAAACAAAATAATAAATCATTAAAATCATGAACACACCATCTTTCAAACAGAAATTAATAGTTTTCCCTCCCTGTGTTGGCGTGGGTTTCCTTTGGGTGCCCCGGTTTCCGCCACAGTCCAAACCCTGCTGAAAAATACAGCTTAAACCAGCCTAGGCTGTTGGCTGGTTTTAGCTGGTCGACCAGCCTGGTTTTAGAGGGGTTTTGGCCACTTCCAGGCTGGTTTCCAACCAGTTCCAGCTTGGTCTTAGCTGGTCAGGCTGGAAAGTGACCAGCTAAAACCAGCTTGACCATCCTGGTTTAAGCTGGACAGAGCTGGTTTTGGGTGGGTTCCCAGCGTGCCTAGACTGGTCAAGCAGGTTTTAACTGGTCATCTCCCAGCCTGTCCAGCTAAAACCAGGCTGGAAACTAGCCTGGAAGTGGCCAAAACCCCTCTAAAACCAGGCTGGTCGACCAGCTAAAACCAGCCAACCTGGCTGGTCTAAGCTGGATGTTTTAGCAGGGAACACATGCGCAATAGTGGATTTGATGAATATTAGCCATATGATTGTGTGTGTGATTGGGTATTCACCCTCAAAATACATGCTGGTATAGTTGGTGGTTCATTCCCATGTGGCGACCCTTTAAATAAGGGACTAAGCCAAAGGAAAAAGAATGAATAAATGAATTTCATTCAATACAATACATTTTGGTCTTAGTTTCCATAAGAATTGTAGGTACTTTACCAAAAAATAAATATATAAATATATGATTGTAGCATATTTTGTGGTTTATATATCAGTAGAAAGGGCACGATTTGAATAAGGTGGGATATTTGTGGGTTTGTGGAGTGATTATGTAAGCTGAACTGCCACTGGTTAGAGAGGCACACTCTTTCACACTCTGCTGCACAGTGGACTCAAGTCAAACAGACGCAGAATAAAGGAATATTCCTGTATTTCAGTTCTGTCACTCAAAACAAAATAAGAGTTCTACATATTACTCTATTTCATAACAGGTTTCGCCTTTTTTAAAGTAGGTGAATATATTCCAATAAGAAGATCAGAAGAAATATGGACAGCTGAGAAAATACTCAAAAATATGACATTCAGATAGCCCAGAAAGTGTTTGTTTTATATTTTTGTCTGCTTGCTTTACAAAGGACTATAATTAATTTGTCACATATTCAAAAACGCTTTAAAGGATAGTTCATCTAAAAACAGGAATTTACTTTAAATCTTTATTTACTTTTCAATTTTTATGAATTTCTACTAATTCAAAATAATATATTCTAAAGCAGGGGTGTCAAACTCAATTCCTGGAGGGCCGAAGCCCTGCACTGTATAGTTCCAACCCTGCTCCAACACACTTACCTGTAGGTTTCAAACAAGCCTGAAGGACTCAATTAGTTTGATCAGGTGTGTTTAATTAGGGTTGGAACTAATGTGCAGAGCTGCGGCCCTTTTGGAACTGGGTTTGACACCTGTGAACTAAAGAATTTGGGAAAAAACAGTCAGAATTTTTGTTCCTACTATGGATGTCCGTGGCTGCTTTTCCCCCAAATTCTTTAGACGTTACATTCTTGGGGGAACTATCCTTTTGACTAGGGTTAGGATCAGAGTTTAACTGACCACATTTATTAATATATAGTTGAAGTCAGAATTTTTAGCCCCCCTGAATTATTTTTTCCTCAACTTCTGTTTATCGGACAGCAGATTTTTTTTCAACACATTTCTAAACATGAGTTTTAATAAATCATTTCTAATAACCGACTTATTTTTATCTTTGCCATGATGACAGTAAATAATATTTGACTAGATATTTTTCAAGACACTTACAGCTTAAAGTGACATTTAAAGGCTTAACTAGGTAAACTAGGCAGGTTAGGGTAATATAGGCAAGTTATTGTATATTGATGGTTTGTTCTGTAGATTATCGAGAAAAAATATAGCTTAAGGGGCTAATAATATTGACCTTAAAATGGTGTTAAAAAAATTAATAACTACTTTTATTCTAGCTGAATTAAAAGAAACAAGACTTTCTCCAGAAGAAAAAATATTATCAGACATACTGTGAAATTTTCTTTGCTTTGTTAAACTTCATTAAGGAAATATTTAAAAAAGAAAAAAATCAAAGGGGGGCTAATAATTCTGACTTCAACTGTATACAGTAGATCAACCTGTTATGCAACATTCAGTATGCAAAGTTGCACCAGAAATTAATACTGATATCTGAATCAGCATGTCATAATGTTGATAATGCCTGCTTTTCCATTTTTTTATTTCATTATAGACTAAGTACGATTTTAAGGTTTTTTAGATTTTACAAGGCTATATTTTGTTTTAAAAATGCTTACAGAAGAAACTTATTTTAAAAACCCACATATTTTTACAACACTAAACGTGTTATATGAAGAAAACCAGCGCTAAAACAGGGGTAAATCACACAAATGAACCCAATCTCTGCATTAATCATCCTCATCACTAAATTCCGTGCACTCATACCTACCAAAACCCAAAACCCGCAAGAAAAAAAGAGAAAAGGCGTGTAATATGAGCCGCTGCGTGCGTGTGACGTGGCAGAGCCGCGGAGGACAAGAGCAGCAGGCCGACAGACGACTCCCGGTGTCCGGCGGAGGAGCATCATGTGGCCGCTGATCTTCACCGCACTGCTGCCGTCCGTCATCCTGACCTATGAAGTGAACATCGAGAAACTGAGTGGCCTGGCGAGGGCTCGAGTAGAGGTGAGTGTTATATATTCAGCTCCATAGATAACGATGCTTTCAGATTAAGAGATATAAAAAGAGCATGATTGATGTAAGTTACCCGAAATGGCGACCTCTGATAAGTATTTGAGGCAAAGTTGGTTTTGTATTCGCACATTGGGACTTTCTCCTAAATAATATAATTTCAGAGAAGTATTATTCGCAAATACTAAATA